TTGGTTTATTGTATCTGGCTGTACTAATTCGTCGGAAATGAAATTAGCACTAATTTTTTTTACCGGCTTGTGGTCAACTGCTATGGTCATTAGTTCCCAAGGGTAGTACGTGTCTTTATCATGAGGGATGTCGATGTACATTCGCAGCTAGATGGTGATGTACACGTTGGTTGTTTTTTGTTGTTTTTCTTTTCTATTCAGGAATCACCAGACACCACCCCCGCGGGCGCGCCGGGACAAGATCGAAGCTCCCGACTGCTTTCCCTACAGGTGTGATAGTGTAGTGCATTAAACCGCAGTGTTTACACACACATACACTACAGGGTAACGGGTGAATACAGAACCAGGAGGAACGAGAGATCGCGCACGGTCCAAGACTAGTTGATTAGATATCTACACCCAGCATTCGCCAGGTGCCAATCAGAGAAACAACGAAAAACTACCGATTAGAGCAGCCGTCCGCTGGAATTCTCTTCCAGACAACGGCTGAATTCGACCTGGCTTTGTAGTCAGCGTCGAAAATTCTGCCACCGTCGAGACCCGATCCCTAGAACCTCCCGACCAAAGGCACTGCAGTTGATATCGGTTGATGTCCACAGCCACCTCAGCCGATGCACACCAATGAAGAAGGAGAGAAGGGATAAATGCCACAGAGTTTAGAGCTTGGCGTATTCATGCTTTTAATCTACTTCGTTTCCCTTATCCTTCCACGAGATGGCAAACTAATTTGCATGAGACCTAGACGTATTAAATTACTTTTTAAAAAAAAGTCGCGGCGCACTTCCTGAAGGGGAGAGCGCGTCGTTTCCCGAGCGGAGAAAACGAAATAAGCCACGGCGCGCACACTCATTTTCCGAGAAAACGCTCTCCACCCTAAGCACGCGGGCTTCATTGCTCCGCTCGTCGTGCGTCGCAAGGGTTAGAACCAGCTGAGCATCAGCGGCGCGTCGACGCTGCGTGAACGCTGGTGCATTGGCGGCGGCGATGGTGTAATGGTTCTGTTATACCCAAGTTGCGTTAGCGTATCGGACTGTAATACCCAAGTTGACGGGTTCGAACCCGATCGAAGCCGTGGATTTTTAAGGGCGAAAAAATCCTTCGTTAGCCTTCCTTCGGAGGGGAAGTAAAGCCGGCTGTCCCATGTTCGTAGATTTACTTGCATGCAAAAGATCCTCAAGCCTAAATGACGCCTCTGAGCAAAATTCAAATCGCCTGTTTCGTCGCCCAAGAAATACCTCGTTTCTCCGCTAGTTGGTGAAAGGAGCGTAGCTAAAATTTGCGTGGTCAGACGGAAGAGCGGGCCTGATGGCCCCAGTCTCGCCACGTAAAATAAGGCATCAATTCAATTAAATTCAATTCATTCAGACGCGTCCGAAGTCGGCCTGCGTCGGCTCGCCGTTCAAGTGCCCTGCGGAGGAGCTAACCTGCGCCGCGGGTGGTGTGCGTGAAAGGCAGCGGTGGCCTGCGCGCACGCAAAGTCGCCACGCTGCTCGAGCACAGAGGCGCCAATCGCTTCTCGTGGAAAATATCCCGAACTCGAGCAGAAGTGACCCCCCTGGCGCTGCGGCTTCGCTCATCGAAGTGGTGGCCGGTCAACCTACGCCTCACCTCGTGAAGAGCAGTTGCTACGTTATTAGGTGTCTTTGATCTCCATTTTACGTTTTAGAAAGTCGCAATCGTAGTTCAATAATTAGTTTCAACTTAATTTTTACTTACATAGCATATTTTTGCAACATAATTATTTACTTTTCTTTTAGTTTCTCGCTACCGCTTACGTGGTAAAGATTGAGTTATGTAGTGGTGCGCGAAACAAAACGGCGCATTTTCCGCAGAAAACTCTAATTACAGGGCCCTAGTAACGAAAAAAATGGATAAATCCTGATGGTAAATTTATAAAAACACACACTAACACGTGGTGTAGTCAGAATTAATGATGTGTGTGTGTTTGTTTTAATTACTTGAACTATTTATTTCATTCTAGTAAGAAAACTAACACATCTGCAACACCTTAATATAAAATTTGCTGATTTTAAACAGAATAATCTAGTGTATTTACGTGTCAACAACAAGAATGTGGAAAAGTCAAAAAAGACCGTGAGTTTCACTAGCTTTAGTTGGCTCACCGACGCCACGAGAAGCAAGAGCCCCATACGGCGAGACATTTGTCCGTGAGCTCCACAATTCATCAGCTCCAGATTCCCATAAGCTCTTTCAAATGTTTAATCCAAAGAACTAGATAGTTTCTTCTCAGTGCACGTATTGCAAAATTGGGAGAATTCTGTTATTAATTAGAAATTCCCGAGCTGTGAACGTTCAAATAAAGTTCCTAGATATTACTTTATCGTCACAGCATTATTCAACTAGATTCTAAGACACTGTAAAACGAAGTTTGTCTAACCTTTCTACAACTAAGCCAAAGCTACGGGCTGGAATACTGTTCTCGGGACAGGGTTTCTGCAATTGCTAGACACCAGGTAAGTATTGATATGCCAAAATATTACGCGCAATAGCCAGCCGGATTTGAAAAAAGTGCAGGGAAATTTTCAAGCCACGTAATTGAGGATACCGGCCATTGGCTTTCTACGTCTGATGTTTTTTAACAATGTATAATAAAATTAAAACAAATTAATTTCACATTCTAATAATAATAATAATAATAATAATTATTATTATTATTATTATTATTATTATTATTATTATTATTATTATTATTATGGGCTTATATTGCGAAATTTGGAAGTTTTTCGTTAGAGATCAATGTAATAAAATTTACAACAATTAAATGAAACATTTGTCTCGTTCTTCTGAAGTAAAAGCTGTATTTTAAATCCACTGAGTAGCCTAATATACGACGGAATTGATTTTTGATCAACATTCAAATGGTTTGATTATTTTTTTTTTAACATCACGAGCTATTGGCGCCAAGTGACGTGTCGTGACAAAACGTAAAGGATAAACAGAAGTACCAAGTCAAGATTTTTTCTAAATGGTATAATCTATTCCGTTTAAGATCTTGAATAACTTAAAAAATGTTTAGGTTGAATTACCTAAAACAAACATTATACAATAAACCAGCATCAAGCAACCAAGCACAGCTCTCGAGAGCACTGACAAATCGTCCCTTAGCAAAAAAGACTAGCCTATCCCAGAGTACCTCTATGATCCGAGGCGCAGTTAAGACTCGAGAGCCCGGTGCAGAGGGTTCAAATGGAGCCCCCATTGCCATTTTTATTTGGTTGCACCAGCCTAGCCACGTCCTTGACTATAATTCCATTGTTTTAAAGATTTTCTTCCAGTCCATTACGATGTCCCTGATTTGGGTTTCTGCGTGATATAAGTGCAGAATTTTCGTATCGATAGTTAAACCTGAGAAGTCAGATCCGAACTAGTCTCCACCGCGTCCTTGTCTTGAATTTCTCCTCTCCCACATCCTTTATCTTCAACTTCCATCCCCTCTCTCAAAAACGAAACGGTGAAAACTGTTGTTTGGAGAGACACAGTTTATTTAGTTTATTGTGAAGATTAAAACCTCTACATTTTTTGGGCCCTAGGGTCCTCAACTTTGCACACGCGGATTGACTACGATATCCTACATCTTACGACGAGGTCCATTTCTTTGGATACTCCGCTGTTCAGAAAACGCCGTGTCCTATAGGTCTTTATCGGCACGGTGGACAACGAAAGACATTTCGCCCTGCTTTTAGACATGGGGAAGGCCACGATTTCATAAGGGTAAGGCAGCAAAAAAGATACAGGAATAATTGTTACTAATAAGATAAAAGTGAAATAAAGTAAAGAAAATTAAATAAATTAATAAAAATATATTTTATATTGAAATTCATAAAATGATTACACTATTAAAAATTAACTTTCTCAATAATCAAAATTATCATTAATATAAAATCAATAAAAAAAGTATTCCATTGTCTTTCATTGAAGAAATCTTCAATATATAAATTTAAAAAAATAACAAAAATTATGAATTTTGAACACTAACAAAATTGATGTGATTTTTTGATGATGTGATTTTTTTCAAATTCAATTGAAACAAATTGTTTATCTATCACAATATTCCATATATTTTCTGAAAATCTTTTCTCCAGTGGTGGATATAAATAAAGAGAACTTTTGCTTGGAAATAATTTTAGAAGAGCCAATTTTAAAAAAGTAGAGAAGTCTAGTTTTTGATATGTTAGGGAGAATACCAATGCTCCCCTACCCCTAAGACTATGAATATATATCAAAATCACAATTAAAAATGTATATTACAGACAAACCAAAAACAGACATTGCACTATGTACTGAAACATTAAAGATCAGCACAAAATAAAACTACAATAAAATATTACAATCATTTCTTAAATAGTCTTTTGATATTCACAAGAATATTTAAGATTCCAAAGAAAAAGTTGTGTTGAGTCTGATTTTAATTCACATTTTAAAACAAATAACAGATTAAAATGACAGCTACAACTAGCACCTTTAAAGACTAGAGAACTTCAGTCTAGAGATTATTAATCTCCTAAACTAATGGCATATCGTGATCCCCCTCTCTCTATCAAACTCATAAAGCTTGGTTGATATAGTCATGGCTGCTGAACTCAAGAGCCTGTCATACACCCTGCAAGAGGCAAATATAATCAATATCAGCTCAGGCACTTGATTTCCCTTGGGAACAGATGGTGTCAAGATCAAATAGTTCATGTAACAGCATTTGCCTGTTTGTTTTTTTCTTCCCAAGTTAATGAAAACAGAAGTGTACATCTGATTTTGTGAACCAAAACTCATGCGAATATTCACAAACATGCTTTACTTCATTCATGCCAGAAAATTGTGCTGCCTAGATGATATAAAGTGAGTTAATGAGCAATTCCCAAAACCCCAAGGGATAAGAATCGTAAACAAACACATAAATCACAGCTTCTGCCAGGCACAACTTTGCTGAATAATTTGTGTAGGCCCAACAAATAAAGTATATCATTTTTTTATTTAAAAACTTACACACAACAGGAAGAGACAAATCAGTTCTGGGTCAGTACTGCAAGCCGTACTCTTCATTAGAAAATTAAATGACACCACAGGATCTGAAATAATAGTTCCATTACTGAATAAATGTTTTCATAAATCACACATAACCTACAATAAAAATATGAAACTCCTTTTCCTTCACGGTTATGAAGCAGCCCCATTGTCCAGCAGAAAGGTCAAACTTTTAGTATAAGTAAAAACACAATTGACCTTTGCATAAATTCTCTGCACAAAATCCATAATATTGTCAGTGGGAAATAAAATACATAACTCACCATCTATAAAACTATGAATCAAGGTTCTCTGGTCAGGTATTTTGGGTCGCAAAAACTATATCTGTTGTTATATAAATAACCGCGCGGTATGCTTTTAAAATAGTTAGCGGCAACGGAATCAATGTACTGTAAGTAAATGAGAATAGGAACAAATCATCTAACAAAAACGCCACTTAATCACAGTTTTGTTACGTTCGAGATTAATCATATTTTCGGCAATTTAATACTTAAAATTATTTGCTTCAGGAAATTAATTTTTCTATCACATTTCTGAACACTCACGGATTAATACTTGACATTTTCACAAATACTGAGTGGTTTTCGAAACTTCACCACAAAACGCTTCCTACCGACTTTCCCATGAACTACAGTGACAAATGTACAACATCAAGCGAACATTTCCACTGAATTTCATTTGTTTCTTGACATTCAGTTGTTTACAATTTCCACTATGGATATCGGGGAGTTGTTATCATACAAGGTAGGTATTAAAAAATTGTTTTTGTAGCCAATTGTGCCCTTATTTTATGTGCAGATTTTATAAATTAAGTTGCATCTTTACGTTTTTTTTCTTTTGGCTCTTTCGTGAGTATATTGTCACCTTAAATCGAATACGTACATAATGTAGAGGTTATGTGCGGTATTAGACAACGTATGAAATTCTACATTCTGTTTTATTTGTGGTAATAGCCTCCAAATACTCCGAAAAGATTAGCAGAAGAAGAGGAAGATGACGACAATGACACAGACTATGAACGTCAGAAGAAAATCCGAAAACTTGCCAAATCTCGTGGGTTGGACTCAGAACGATTGGACAAGACTACAAACTTGAAAAAAATTGGACAGAGTCTGCCTCCTCCCGACCCAGTAAAACAAGAAGACACTCTTACTGAAGAAGAAAGAGAAAAAATTATGGAAATGGTAGAAAATGAAGATACAAGTCAGGTTAGAAACTCATTTAAAATTGTATGTAATCCTGATTTTGGCTCTAGATCTATATTTTTACAGTTCATTTTTTCTAGGCGGAGACACTAAGTGAGTCAGATATTAAGCGAATGATACTTTTGTTTGAGAAGAGAGCATTGAAGAACCAAGAAATGAGAATAAAATTTCCAGATTTGCCTGAAAAGTATGTTACTTTGTTTTTATTTATTTCAGAACATAATATCTGGTTTATCTTAAAAAATAGTTTTATAAATCAGATTCTGTTTACACAATATTTAATTGTTTCATTTACAAAAACAGAATGACTTATGTTCCCCAATAATAATTTTCACATTTAATCATTTTTGTTTCATGCCAGAGAAAAGGTTACATTCCCTCTTGTTCTCATACACTCTCTTGTGTACTCTGCTGGTAATGTTATCAAGTATTGTTTTAAAAATTGATGTGTTAAGTACACAAATACTATTGTTTTAATTTCTCCAAAATATCTTTACATTAGTTAAGAGTATAGATATGTAACATTTGAGTCAGTAGTAGGTTAATTATATGTCCAGTTAAATTAATTTAATTATATAATGAGGATATATTCTAATTTTTACCCTGGATTTCTAAATTAACACTCCAGTCTCATTATTGAATTCCTCATTGATTGTGTTGTCTTTATTTTAAATGCATTCTACATGTTCTATTCATACAAGAATTATTTATTAAAAACAGTTTTTGTCCTTTAGAATATTTGACAAGAGTACCTTGATTGAGAGTTTTTTAAACGGTAATTTTTTTTTTTTTTCTATGCCCTTGTGACGATACCATTCTAACTTCAATTTCTGTTAATGCTATGTTTTCAGCACCTACAATTTTTTTCCTACCAATCACAATCATTTATATGATGTATATATGTTGATGAATCTTAAGCTTATTTTTGAGAATTGTCAAAATACGAGATAGACCCAATAATATCTTTCTATTGCATAACAAGTTTATACAATGTTCACAGTCACTTCATAAAGAAATATCTTGAAATCATAAATGGCAATAAAGTGAATTAGTTTTTAATTAATTTTTATTTTCTCACTGATTGAATGTTTAAGGCACAAAGCACATATAATTATTTTAATTATACCATTAAATTCCTGGTAGATACTATTTTAATTAAAAATAAATGATGACTTTTGTAGGTTCATGGAGTCAGAAGTGGAGTTGCATGAAACAATTCAGGAACTGCATGCCATAGCATTGGTTCCAGATCTGTATCCTGTACTGGTAGATTTTAATGCAATTCCTTCTATGTTGGAATTATTAGCTCATGAAAACACTGATATGGCTGTGGCAGTAGTTGATCTTCTACAGGTTTGTTGAAACATTTTCTATTTCAGATTTTCAAATTTTAATACTTCAAAATATTCAACAACAAAAAATGTTGGATGGAAAAAACTAGATTCAGATCCCTATGTATGGAATATAATGTAATGAGTAAGCCATGAATTTCAGATTCTTCATGGATTGATTGTAGATTTAATTGTAATTCTGTGAGAAACCTCAATGGAGTATCAAAGATGGGACCGGCTTAGGTGGCTCAGGGCATTAACTGATGGCATTGCAGTGCCTGTGGCTGGGAGACCCTAGGGTTTGAGACCCAACAGTGGGATTTTTGACACTAGCTTGATAGCTAGGTCAAATTCAGCCACTGTCTGGAGGAGAATTCTAGTGGCCAGCTGCTCTGGTATTTTTTCCATGGTTTCTCTGATCAATACCAGGCAAATGCCAGAGCATTACCATAAGAAATGAACTATGGACTGCAAGCGATATAATATCTTTCCTTGTCCTCGTCCTTGTCCTATCTTCATCCCTTAATTACACAGACCAACACTTTCATTCTCTACACTACCGCACATGCTGTGAGACCAGTTGATAGCTTAGAGTTTGGTCTACTGGGGCAATGCCCCGCTTTAGGAGATACATGGTTAGGAAAATATCTCACTAGGCGACGTGTAGGTTGTCACTGGATCTCACCATCCATCTGGGGAAGATCATCGCCACCTCCTGAAGAGAAAGCATGCAGTACACTTACAGGACTAACGATGCAGTTGGCATCTCCATAAACAAAATGATCAATAAATCATTCGAAGATAGGAATGTTTGATGGTGCCTTCCATAGGTGACCCCTTATTTTGCTTCTGTTACTCATCAGTTTATTTTCACTGTCTGTGCATGTTTTCTTAAGGTCTGTGGGGAACATAGATCTTCAAATTAAGGGATCAGCACAGTAGTGGTCGAGGCCACATTTTAAGGAAGTGGACAAAAATCAAGTTGAAGTTTTGTAGTCTGTTAAGAAAGAGTTGTGAAGAGAAATAATAGCGACTTCATTTTTAACTTAATAGAAAACCAACAGTGTACAAAAATAGTTCTCTTTCTCAGATAACAAATGGCACCAATAGCTCATTTTTGAGGGTGAGACCGCTATTAGGCTCAGCTCTTCGAATCATCATTCTTTATTTTCTCGCCTCAGTATGTTGATCACATAGTCCAAATCTATAGCCGATTTGTCTTTGCAAACAGTTTTTATTAAACCAAAGCTTAATGCTAATAATTGAGTTGGGATAGACATTCGAGAGCTCAAAAAACCATGCAGATGTGTTTGTTCCCATAATTCATAACACAGTTTTTAACTGTTGTTGACATTACATAAATACTTGAGTTTGGGTGAAAACGGGTAGTGGTCTACAGCCTTTTGATAACTGGACCCCAAGAAGGAATGTTATGATGATACTTCAAAGTAAGTGGACATTTGCCAGGTGGAATTCCCTGCGAACATGCACTTCATGTTCAAGGAAGAGGGCCAATATACACATTGCTTACTACCACTACTGCTTTTAACTACCACCACCACCATGTCTGTGCTTGCTGCCTTTTCTAAATTTATAAAATTGTTTATAGAATATGTTATTGAATTCATGAAGAGCTGTGATACAATTTGACATTTGTTGATGTATTGGATGTATGGTGTTCACTTCAAACAACAAAAATATTGCCTTGGCTGATAATGATTTAATTCCCCAAGTTCATTGATAATTTATAGCGAGGTGGCCTAAGGAAATCTGGCATTTTATTATTGGCAATAGATTTGTGTAGTCAGTCATTGTAGGAGAAACAATGCCTTATTCGAGTTTATGAACAGTTATAAAATTGAAAGTATTGAAGATGCCAAGTATGTAGGATTAGCACAATTGTCAGTGATGTCTGAAACAAACAGAAAGGGCAAAGAGACTCAGATTGCATCTTGATATGCATCTCAAATATCATTAAGAGTGTATGGGAGACCGTATTGATACTATTGGTGCAATAAACAGGAAGTACAGAAAGGTGTTTTTTGTAAGCTTAATTATTGAATTTGTTTTTGTTCACAGGAGCTGACAGACGTAGATGTTTTGCACGAGAGTCAGGATGGAGCAGAAGCACTAATGGATGCATTATTGGCTCAACAAGTTTGTGCTTTGCTTGTTCAAAATCTAGAAAGAATGGATGAAAGCGTGAAGGAAGAAGCTGATGGTGTTCATAACACCCTTGGTATATTACTTTTGATTTCCATTATCTATTAAAAACTTTGTTGTGTGTAAAAATATCATGTTTGTTCTCAGAAAGGAATCGAAATAGAATGTGCAGTCATTTACTAATTTTGTGAGAAAAACCTAAGCAAAAGCTTCAACTATTTCATTGGAATAGTTGGAGGATGACATTTTTCTGCATTATTTTTCAATTTAGGAGATATTTATAAAGAAACTGTTTGAGTTAATTGAGTTATGTGAATCAAATAGTTCCGTATTAATGCTAAACCCTAAGCTTCTAAAATAAATTTTCAAGTATTCATTTTAATTTATGTGTTTTTCCAGCAATATTTGAGAATTTAACAGAGTTTCGACCTGAAGTTTGTGTGGATGCTGCAAAACAAGGTCTTCTTCAATGGCTTCTCCGTCGCCTCAGAGTGAAAATGCCATTTGATGCCAATAAGTTGTATGCTAGTGAAATTCTGTCAATACTTCTGCAAAACACACCAGATAATCGTCAGATGCTTGGTGACTTAGAAGGCATAGATACAATTTTGCAGCAGTTGGCGGTATGTGTGATGTTTGAACCATTTGGATGCTAATAATTACAAGAGTTTAGCCTCTAAAATAAAGTTGTTGGACTTTTTAAATCCAATATTAATAATATACAAGTGAGAGCCCATCGTGTGCTTGAGGCTATGTACTTTTTATATTTTATCTCTGTGATAATTTGAAAATTTCCATTAATATAAAGAGATTGTAATTCTTGATTCTTCCTCTCTTTCACTTTCTCAAGATCATAAATGAAAAAAAATACTATCTTCACAATTTTGTGATGAAAAGAAGTACAGTGAAACCTGCTAAAGGAGACACCTCAATAATGCAGCCAATTTTTTGCATGGAACTGATTGATTTTTCCAAAAGATACATGTAAATATTCCCTCCTTTAGACAGTCACCTGGCCCCACAATCAGTAGCTGGCACATTTTATAGATAGACTTGTATTAATTTGTTAAAATAATCCAGACAATTTTGCAATTTTAAGCATCACTATAAAAAGCAGAAGAGCTGTATTTTCTTCTTGCAATGTGACACGTTAACAGATAACCTAAAACTGAGATACTAATTACATTTGTTAACTCATGGGACGATTACTTTCAGCATGCTGTGAATGTTTTTCACAGTGTGAATTGCAGCCAAAGTCCAGTTGGTAGTAAAGTGTAAAAATTATTAGAAATAAACAAGAATGTAGGGGGAAAATGCATAAATAGGGATTTCTAATTATTCTGAATTATTAAATGCAAATGTGCAAAGAAGCTTCCCATATTTTCTAGCATAAGGGTAAATTAAAATATGTTAATATAAATATACTAAAAAGCATACCAACTTTTTTTAGTTAAAAATATTAGATCAGTTCTCCACTTCCCATATGCTAATAACCTCCATTAAGCTGCAACGTTAACTACCATTCTTCTCCGGAAACAGTAGTAAGTGCTTAAGGCAGGTTTCACTGTATATAACCCCTTTAAAATTTGGTTTATCAAAATTTTTCATCTTGTGAGAATATCTTTTCAGTTCTACAAACGTCATGATCCAGCCACAATGGATGAACATGAGATGATGGAGAATTTATTCAATTGTCTGTGTTCAAGCTTAATGCATGCTCCAAATCGGGAGAGATTTTTGAAGGGCGAAGGCCTCCAACTGATGAACCTAATGCTCAGGTAATTTAACTACAGAAAAACATTTGTTATGAAAGAAAAAACGATTGGTAATTGCTGCTAATTGTTTTCTAATAAACTGTTTTTATCATAGAAACACAGTTTTGTTATTATTCTTTTTTTCTAGAAAGAAAATAATGATTGTTATTGTTTACTAACTCGTTTTCTCATCTGATCATTACAAGTGGTTTCGCTTTTCAGAATAATTAATTCATCACCATTTTATGAGGTCATATGTAGTTTTGAATTACACTAACTGGACAAGAGTGCAGAATAAATGAGAATTATAGTAAACACACTGATCATTAATTAATAATTTTCCATCAATACAGCATGCAATAAAATAAAATGTAATTGTAGGATTTGTTTATAGATGTTGTTATTAGAAACATATTTCAATGGCTAATGGAATTTTGAACGTTATATAGGAATATTAACTTTTAAGAAAGAAAATTTTTCTTGCTCTTCTTAGTCTTGACTGTTCAATATAAATGTTTAGAGACTAAAATACCCCTGCTTATTTTCTCATTTAACAGGGAGAAAAAATTGTCTCGAAACGGATCCCTTAAAGTATTAGATCATGCAATGTCAGGACCAGATGGTAAAGAAAATTGCAACAAGTTTGTGGATATTTTGGGATTACGTACAATTTTTCCTCTATTTATGAAAACGCCAAAGAAAAATCGTAAACGAATTCTCACTACACAAGAACATGAAGGTCTGTATTTATGAAGAAATGATTTTTTCAAATATCTCATTGTCTCTCAAGATCTTCATAAAAGTTTGGTAATGCTGAAGTTCTGCTAAGTTGAGACATGTATTTTTTTTATAGAACATGTGACATCAATCATTGCAAGCATGTTACGAAATTGCAGAGGACCACAAAGACAAAGACTTTTGTCAAAATTCACTGAAAATGACCATGAAAAAGTAGATCGCCTTTTGGAATTGCATTTCAAGTATCTAGAAAAAGTTGAAGAAGTGGACCTAGTTCTTGAGCAAGAACGCAAGGTAAAGCGTCGTCTTTGGAAGGAATTCATATGTTAACTCATAAGTATATTCATTTCTCATGCACTCTGGGTTTGTGTTGTTGCACAATTGTAAGAATAGCTTAAGAAACGTTGGTGTTTGAGTCTGCTTAGTATGCCATTGAAAGTATCAAGAAAATGATAAAAATTGTCATTTCATTAGAATTACTTGTCACATCATCTGTATTCTTCTTTTAAAAATTCCTCAAAATTGTTATGTTTAGTAAAATTATATTATTCTTTGAGCAGAAAAAATGTTGGAGCTTGTGATTAACTATATTATCAGGGTAACAGATATAAATAAATGAATTTTAGTGTTTGCAGATTTTAATAAAATGTAGAAAACATTCAGAAAAGATGATGTTACTATTGAATTGGGTTTTCCATCAGTTTGATTTATCAAATTGGAAAGTTAAGCAGAATAATGCTATTTTCATTTATCATATAATTTTGAGCATTCAACAGTTTGGCTTGTAAGAGTTCTTGTCACATTTAATAGTATTGTTGGAATTTGCAGGAGAACTCCACAGATGATGAGGATGAAGATGAAGGAGATGAAGCTCGCTACTTGCGCCGTTTAGAAGGGGGGCTATTTACTCTGCAGCTGGTTGATTACATTCTGCTTGAGGTGTGCACAGGAGGTCCGCCAACTATCAAGCAACGTGTTACTCAGATTCTGAACCTCCGAGGTGGTTCCCTAAAGACAGTTCGTCATGTCATGCGTGAATATGCAGGCAATCTGGGTGATGAAGGGGATTCAGAATGGAGGGATATAGAACAGCAGCGCATTTTGCAACTTGTTGATAAATTTTGAATAGTAGCTTGTGCTTCTTATTTTATCTGTAATATAAAATAACTTTATCTGTAATAAATATCTTTTGCTACAAACCATATAGTTTTGATTTTTCTTCTTCTTTTTTGAATGGTTTTGCTGACTAAAATTGTGAGCCCCTAAAAAGCTAATAAGAAAAGGGACCCTATAGGGATGTAAAGGAGAGTGCAAATTAAGTTATAACATATTTTACTGTGAAATGTTAACAGAAAAAGTATTATAACATGTCACATTATCTTACTGATATGAGCAATATTCATCTGATATATGAATATTATAAATATTTTAGATTTGGCAAAATGTCGATTAAGAAAACAAACAATGTAGCCATAATGTGACATCAGTGTAAAATGCAAGAATATAGAAACACACTTATAAGGCAAGACAGAAGGGCAATAGGAAATAAATAATTAGACAATTTATTTACATTCTCAAAATGTTTGGACAGTGTGGGAATAAAGGAACATTAATTATTTATTATTATTATTATTATTATTATTATTATTATTATTATTATTATTATTATTTTTATTATCGCACGGACAATGCAATATTGAACTAGAAATGAGTCGAGCATATTATAGATAATGATTCATGAAACAAGTGATAAATGGCTTGAAAATCATCAAGAAGAAACAAGTTTGTTTGTGTTCTGAGTCACGTAGGTAACAATTGATGAACACACATGTTTTATTAGGGATAGATCGAATTCAGGTGCAATGGAATGCAGATGTGCCATGGTGAGGCCCAGTTGAAATTGGGAATTTTGAAGTGATATTTATAAACAGATTTTAGTTAGAACTTTTAATGCATGGCAAGGCGGGAAAGTCAAATATGTAACATATTTAAAATATTTATTTTAAAATGTTTGATGTGGGAAATTTTGGGAACAAGTATCGACGAGTAGTTGAGGAAGAATGAATTTATCTGGTGAACATGGACAAATGGCCCCATAACCATTTGTTACAAGACAGCAGTATTTCAAAGGAAGGAAAATTACCAACTTGAAAAACAGTTTAAAAGGCTCAAGATTGTTGTATTTCAATAAGAAAGTGAAGTAAATAACGATGGCCATTCACTTACATGCATAGGAGAATAATGAACAGATATCTGAAGTCTTTCTTCAATGAATGTATGTTATTATCTTGATGTGAATGTTTTTGATTGTATTGTAAATATTCAATTTTAAAGGAGGGTATTATTTATTATTTGTATTCTGTTTGGTTAAATATGTATACTTCAGTTTTTGTAATGTGGTGTCTCAAGATCACATATTAAACAGGGAGAGGGATGGCAGACACATAGGAAATTGCACCCTCACCACAGCCCCCACTTTTATGGCTTCCTATTAGTCTCACTTCCCTCTCCGTTTTTGGGTGACCTTGAGACGCCACATTAAAAAATCTAAATATATCATGAACAGGGAAATCTGGCAAATGTTATAAAAATATAGTACAACATCATTGTTGCAGTGCAACTTTCATTTAAATGGCTTTTTTTATTGGCTGAAATAAAATCTATAAATTCTCTCCAACATAATAACTTCCCAGTCAAGTTCTTGTATGAGCAGTGTTTTTTTCCTGGCCCTGTCGAGAGAGAAAGTAATGCCTTTTGTAGACAAATTGACGGTTGATGCTGAGAATATGACTGTGAGAATATTAAACATGCTGTTGTATTTCATGTACATACAATATTTTTACCATCTTTACAGCTTACTGTTACATCAACATTTATGAGTTTTAAGAAATGGAAAGGCAATGTAATACTGTATCAAACATCATATGAGGTGCAAAATAATTTTAGTAAATACCATTTGAGAACAAGTGTCTTACACATATCTTACAATTAATGTTATCATCACTTTTCTTATCATTCATCTCATTTTCATAGTTACATGTTATCAAAATCATATTTGTCGCCAATAAGTCAAAAAACGTTATCACATCACTTGTTTATTTATTTGGCTTCATATAAGTGATTGTCCAAACTCTTTTGAAGATGTACAGGAAAATGCGAAGAAATTTGTTCAGGTTGTGGCGAGGAAATTTGTAGAGTACAGTTAAAAAACTCACTTTTACATTCCAGGAATTTACTTTTTCCTGCCACTTACACATATTTAAATTGGACCCTTAAATTTCCTTGTGTTCACAAAGCAAAAATGTCTCAACTTTTATACTTTGGAAATTAAAAATTTCCCTCTTATTCTTCCCCTCTGACTTTCCAGTTGATTGTTTGTGATCAGTGAAAGTTAGAATTACTCAGTATTGCTCTGGACTAAGCGTTATCACTTAAAATTCTATTTTCCACATAAGGAGAAAATTGTGATGCGGGTTGCGTTCACTTCAGAAATATTTCGCGTATTATTCGCGAATCATCATTGGAAATACCTGACAATAAAATGCTCACGTATCTTTCAATTTCGCTATTATCTCGACTAGTGATAATTCAGAGTCCTTAATTTTGCAACTACTGGCGGCGACCGGGGAGTTTTCTTCTTATTGAACAATTTTATTTCTGTCACAATCACAGATAGAGAGCGACATTATTTCTTTACAATTGCCCCTTCTCTCATGAACAATTTTATTTGATAGTTTCTTATAAATTTACTTTCGTACTAGATTCAGTAATGAAATATATTTTTTGTGTTCGGTTTCCGAAAAGTCTTGGTTTTTATTTGATCATAAAATAGTTTTAATAACAGTATCTTTGTATTCTAGAAAAAATAAGTAGAATAAAACAGTGGAATAAGTGAATTTTGACGTGCAAGGCCTACGTAGAACTTTAGAGTTTACTTTAAATGTTAATATTATTAATAAATGTAGAGAATTGATGTTTTGTATTTTATTATTCAAGCAAAAGCATTGGCCCACCGTTTACACTTTCCAACAATTTAAACATTTTTTATCAAACCTTAGGCAAGTATAAAAGAGGGTGCATGAAATAAAATCCCTAATTGTGGGTTGCTTTTATCTTCCTAGTCTAAGCGGTCCCCTTCTGAACCTTCTCCTGTCTTTGTATAATCCTAAATAACTTGCACCTTGCCTGTTATACCTTGCTGGTTAAATGAGAGACCCCTTCCACATCTCCTTGACCTTTCCAACTCGGCTGGCTGAGGAAGCCCATAGACCCTTCTCAGAAGTCTTTAAATATCTCGTTAGGCATATATGCCAAAATATTCTCAGGTCATTCATTTTGATGAGTTGTTTTGGAATTCTATGATTTACAAGGAACGGGGAAATAAATACTCTTCAACAATGTAGTTGGGTTTTATGAATATGGATTTTTATCTAATAATGAGAATTCTGGAGGCTACAGTAATTAATGAGGGGTGAGTCAGAGCGGGATGTGTTTCAGTGCGGTGGGGCAGGGCTAAGTATCTATAAACAAAAGTGACAATACATAGAATGAAAATTTCTCACGATTCCAATAATCTTTTCTGATGCGTTAAATGTAATTGAAACATTATACACAGGCTGTCTCGAAATAAATGTTACAAACGCCTAGAGCTTGCAGAAGAGAAGAAAAGTATTACTTCTCCTACTTGGAAATTGTATATTATGAAATTAAGAAGCAAGGCAAGGCCAACTAAGGTGGGTACACAAGTTACTATGTGGGACCTAAGGCAAGGCTGGAGGCACCCACAGGAACGGAAGAAGAGATGGACAAGAAAAGTAAGTGAAGCAGCGAGCAGGACCTGAACCAGAACGGCAAAAGATAGGACGACGTGGAGAAGCCTACGGACCAACGGGAGACAGACGGCGCCACCAACCTTGTTGGATCACTTTAGGACTTTGTAGACCAAAATAAGTATTAAAATATAATACTTGTGGTATTTGTTCCTTGATAATGTTTGACGAAATTGCTTGACTGCTTCAGAAGGTATTTGCCGAACATCTACATGTACAAATGCATTCAATCTCCCACTACATATTCATTGGCAAAGAGAGATTATTTTTGACCCTTATACTTACTCCAGAAGTTCGTAACATTTATCCTGAAACATTCTGTATACGACAAAAGAAATGCAGTGAATTAAAATAAATGATAGCAGGATCCCGAATATCAAATTGTTCACTGATGAAATTCCACGTTGCGTGAGAGAAACCAACAACAGGAAATAACAACAGAAAATATAAGAGGATAATTCTGAGAAATATATTGTTTCTTGTAAAACACAAAATACTAAAAGAGAGAAGGAAGAACTACACGAGCTTATTATGCAAATATTTCTATCCCATCCCTTTTGTACCTACGACAACATAAAAGAGAGAGTGTGTTTCCTGCAAGTTGAAGTTAAGAATCATGTGCCCTACTTTTAGCAGAACTTCCGTGCATATCAAATAAAAAAACATCCCAACAATCTACAAATACTTAGCTAATACATTAAGTTTTTTTTTTATTTTAAATTGAAAATTACTTATATAGCATTCAAAATATGATAATAAATGAAGTACTCAATGAGCTTAATATTTAAATATTGCTAGAATTTTTTGTTCGTCTTTCGAAGGGAATACGAGTATATAGGAGCGATATGTTAACTGGTCGTGGCTTGAGGTTATTTAAATTTTAAAATTTAAGAATAATTGTATAAGTGTGCTCCTCGGGTGGCTCATTAACAGCGTTCTAATTTCTAAATCTAGCTTTCCATTCATCTGTGTTATTTCAATCATTTCACGTTCTGTCTTATCAAATACAAGTAGTTTTCGCGTAATTTTGAGTGAACGTCATAAAATACCCATAGATATGTAAGCAATATTATCTCTAATTTCTCTTAATAATATCTCTGTTTTGCTTTAAAAGTTTTGTAAGAGTAGAGATCAATATCCTACATACTCTGACGCAAGTGGTAGTCTATTAAAACGTTTGAATTTTCAAAGAATTGAAGTGACGCATTTTTTCAAATCCTCCACGCTCTGTTTGATGAGATTTCTAGAGTGTTTTGAAGTGTTAGTAGGATACAAGTAGATATAATATTGCATAATCATTTCAAATAATACTAAAAATTATGTGCTTTTGTAGGACTACTAGATTCTAATAGTAAACGATATGCTTTCGTCCCTTAAAAACAGGTGGACAGTTCACTTACATGCTTGGGTGTTTGTTCTTTGCAGAGAAGGAAGCCGTAAGTAGTATGATGTCAGATGTTTCAAAGTTTTTTTATTATAAAAAATCAATTGCAGCCAAAGAATAAACTTTTTCATATTGTTGTTTCGTATAGTTGTGCATCTAAAACAAACAAACGCACGCACAACTGGAAATTAAGGATCTTTAGGTAACAAAACTAGGGCCCTGCAGCACCAAAAATACTGTTGAACAACACTCAACAAAATAGTTTCCAAAAATTAGCATTCACACTGCTCAAGAACAACAAACAAAAGATTATCGTGTGCTCTTGCAATAAATTTAAACAAAAACGTCTTATCGTATACTGGGATAATTTAGTTTAATGGGTACAGACAGTAGTACAAATGTTTTTTTACACACCCAGAATAAATATATTAGAAGATGCTGTTCTAAACATATCGCGTGAATAGCAACTATTTAATGAGGGGGCATCTTCCTTGGAGCGTTGCTGACCCATGTCGTCCACTACGTCGTTATCAGTGTCACACTATGATAATTCAGTCGGTAGGCGCAGTATGAGACGAAACGAATAACACAATCAAATATATGCTTTTTCGACAAAATCGAAACCATTTCATTGTGTTTAATTTTTTCACGAGTTTCTGGGTAGTTAACGAGACCATAGATACCTCTCACAGAGCCGAAGGATGCATAGTTTTCTTTCAATTTATGTGCCAATTGGGAATGAGTAATATGCATGTTTCAGACTCAAATCAGTCAAACTTCAAATACAGTTCCTAAATAAATGAATTAAACACTGCAAAGATGTCATTACGTAGGACTTTCATAATTCTTTCAAACTGATCCTATCTCGTGTATAATTTGCGAATGTACTAAATTGTCACTAGAGATATAACAGACTATTTTGGGGAAATCCTACAGTACCATGAGTTTTGGAATACAGAATAGTACGAATAATAAACAAAAGCTATCCGTATGATACTTGAAGGCCCCACCTGGCTGAGCGTGGAATAATACCATTGCCATCCTTAATCATCCCAAGAATCCTTCCCAATCTTTTATTTTTGATATTCGATTGAAGGAGTTTCTCAAGAGGATTTACGCGCCTTGAGTACAGATACGTCAAACAGTTTCGTGGACACTTAGCCCAAGTGGCGTATATCCACAACAAAAGTGTCAGAGATAACTTATCTTAAAGACTCAGTTATTTATGTATGTCTAAAGAAGGGAGAATGAAGGTAACTACCATTTCACAAAAAATACAACTTCTATGATTGAACAATAATATGTTTTCAAAAATGGTCACAATATAATATCACGGAACAATCTCTTATATTAAAGTTATAACCTGCAGAGGAAACTTTAACCTTGATTCAGTTAATTTAATTTTTTAATATAAACGTAATTACTTAAGTTATCGCCGTAAACACAACTATTTATGAAAGATCATTTCCATAGAAAGCTACATTTTGTTAGGATCTGTAATTAACCTCCTCAAGGCCTTATTTGGCAACCAGAAGAATAGGTTTTTTATTGCTAAAATTATATTACAATTACTGGGTTTCAAAGCATTCGTCAATCGTACGTAATTAAAAATAATGGTTATTTGTATTTCCATTATACTGAAATGGAATATTTTCATAATGGAAGAATGGATATTCAGAAATGGATGTTTTTGTTTGTATCTCAAAATCATTAAATCTGTAGATTTTTTCTTCAAAACAATATTAAATTCGTCATCGATATTATTTTATAATTTGATAATATTTTAGATGAAGATTTTATGAAAACATTACATAAAATCTAAATATATTTAAATAATAGCGTACCCGTGAGAGAACTTACGTATGTTAATCCCCACCCTTTCCCTATCCATTTACCTATCCTTTTCATTAAGAAGGGAAGTTGGTCATGAAACGTATTTATTTATAAAAAATAAAGTTGTAAAAAATGTAACTTCGTACTTACAGAATGTCAAACAAAAATAAAAACGATGCAATAGCTATTGGACACAAATTTTCAATAAAGGTGTATTCAGTATTATGGAGATATGTTCTTCGAACAATTCACATTTCCTTAAAAACATTGGAAGTTCATTCCAGTTAGCTTTTCGCTTTCCTTGATAGTCACAGAATTTAAAAGGTTTCTACTCTTGAGAAAGCCAAGGATTGTTTTCCATGCGAAAATACAGGATCAGGCTAGTACAACCGTACTCTTTCCAATATTATTTAACTTTCCTAGATTTATAATGAGGAATAGAGAGGGTTTTGGAGGGGTAGGGTGCCAGCTTGCTGGGGTGCGAATATTGAAAAATTATTTGTATACTAAAAAATATTGGATTATTTTCTGCATTCGTAAGGACCTCAAGAAAAGCAATTATGAGCCAAAAAATAATAAAACTAATATTTTACCTTTGAATAATAAATATCATTTGTTACCATTAGAAACTATTCTTTACGCTTAGACTTCGCTTCGGCACAAGGGAATGTTGCTCAAACGATGTTTACGTATTCAATATTTTAGCAGACAGACACCTTAAGTTTAATATCAAACGGTGTTTTATTTACAATATGAGTTTACAGCTGGGCATTGATTTACAGACTTCCAGATACCGCCAACATTTAAATCGTGCGTCTAGATTGTGATCGTTGGCAGTTGTCGAATGACTTGCGCTATTCGTTCTATAATTTTAAATTTGGTTGCTTTTCTAAATTAATTCACGAATAATTATCAGCTAGCGCGTTTTTATTTTTGTTGTTCATTTATTTCAAGCTATGTTACTTTAGTTAATGTTCTTTGTGTTATTACAGCACAAGTTTTCCCCTATTACCTTCACTTACCCGTGCGAGAACTTCCGCATGTTAATACCGACACTATTCCCAATTCTCTTATTTCCATTCTACGAGGGTAAGCTGTAAACAAAACGTATTTATTTGTTTAAAAATGTATAA